GACCTTCCTCCTCCGTGTCATCCCTTAGCGTACCTACTGGGTACATGGCAAGAGACTCTTGCGATCTCCTCATTTACGTCTGCCCTGCACACTGTGGAATCTTCATGTGATTTTAAACTGTCATTTAGTGGGGGAGATTGGCGAAAATGATCCTGTCACCACCGGATATGTTTTTAAATGAGGGCTTGGTTGAATTCTGGCCTAGTGTTTGAAAATCAGCCTTCTTGAGCTTTATATTCTTCACGGGTTTTAACTGTTCACCTCTACTGCAACTTTAAAAACTGTCAGTGTTTTTACTGTAAACATTTTATTGTGGATTTTCAAGGTAATCACAAATATGTGTGCCTAGAAAAAATCTGATATCTGATATCAGGCCACCCCTGAATTATTTTGTACAATTTTATCTAAATCATTCTGGCTAGACATTTGTGGAGCAATTGAGGTGGTAATTTTTTTTTAAATTGCTTCTCCTTTGTTTGGTTTTAACCTTTGATATAAGAGGTAATTTCTAAAATTTAAGGGTTTATTTCTGAAATTCAAAAATGTACAGCATATGTATTTCTCCAATACATTTCTCCTTTTTTAAACCAAGAATTTAGGAGCAGACCACCCTGATACTTGTGTAGCACGTATTGTGAAACAGCTAATGCACTTTATCCATGACAGATTAGTCCATACTTTCAACGTTCCCACGTGTAAATTCTTTTTGAATGAAAGTCTGCTCACGTTAAGGGTGCATTTTCTGATGCTTTGCAGTCTTGGTGCTTATTTGCAGTCTTCCCACTTAAAAGTCTAAATGCATAGCCCAAGGATATCTAGCAACAAGCAAGTTGGTGGCTGAGTTCTTTCAAAAAGATGATTTACAGAGTTATTGCGGTTTCATCATTGAGTAAAGCTGATCAGGGTGGTTGTGATTCACCCCTGGTCCATGCTGGGGGGAGGGGCTTACTCATCACAGGTGCCGTCTGCAGCTGAGACACGGGGGGCCCCGTTGGCCGCTGAATCATCCCCTTTGATTGCGTGCCCGAGTCATTCATTCACGCAGAGAGTTTGCGGGCCAGGGTGTACCCTCGGTGCTGGGAGAAGCAAGTTCTCTGTCTCCATGGGCACAGACATTTTCTCTCTATATTTAGGGGAGGAGACAATAAAAAACAAACAAGATTTCAGAGTATACTAAGTGCCGTAGGGATTTCAGAAAGTGCGTTGGTATGATCTAGGGCTGTTTGAGCTGAAACCTGAAGAATAAAAAAGAAGCAACTAGGGGAGGGTCTAGAGGAAGGAGTTCGCAGGCAGGGAAATCTGCAGTTGCCAAGAACCGCAGTCAGGCGAAGGGCTGGCGGGTGCAGGAGGAGCGAGGAGGCTGTGCCTTCGGCCTGAGCACCAGGTGAGAGCCACAAGGCAGAGAGGCGCGGCCACGCGCCACAGGCTCCTGCGCGCCAGGCTAGGGGTTTGAACTTTATTACAAGGGCAGCAGAGAAACATCACAGGAGCTGAAACAGAACAATGTCGCCACCTAATACCTTTCACAGAGAATATTCTAGCAGCTCTTTGAAAAACAGACTGGAGTCATTTAGTCACCCTAATGAACAATGAGTGGGACAGAAATGATCTCTTGTGTTGGCCATTTGCTCATCGGACTGACGGGGTTTGCTCATGGCTCAGCTGAGCTGAGAATGGAGAAGGTCCCTGTGGCCAGCCGGCCAGTGAGTGGTAAGGGACGAAATGGGAAACTGAGGCTGGCATGGAAGACGTTTGACCTTTCACACGTGATCGCGGAGGCTGTACGGACAACAGGCCTTTCCCGTTGGGTTCTGCCACAATTGCGATCATCTTCTTTTGTGAAATAAGTATTCATAAGAATAAACTTGTCACTCATCCACTTCACCAAGATTCACACGTGAAGCAATCTTATTAAACAAATCATCGATAGAGAGAGAGACAGATACTCATTATACACCCAGATCAGCCCCATTCTGGCTGTCTTCCCTCGCCCGCCTCAGCTGCCGGTGGCAAACAAAATCACTTAAGTGAGCAGTTTTAAATGCATAATATTAAAATGTGTTTTTAAAAACTCCTTGGAACCCTCAGCCATTGTTCAAATACACTGATTTTGATGGATGCTTTGGCACTTTTTTTTTTTTTTTTTTTTTTGGTGAGGCTTTTCAATACGCTACCTTATCGGGAGCATGCGATTTAGTCTGTTCTGCAGAAGAAAACAGACAAAAAGGGTCTCTCAGCACGAGTTACTCTTCTGTAAAGGTTATAGTAAACATGTCAATGCCTAATTAAGCAGAAAATTTTATCTGTATTGTGGGGGAGGCGTTTACTGTCTCTGACTTTTCTTCTGGGGAATCCATTTAGAAGGACAAAGTAGATTGTGAGGTTGAGCTGGTCCGGAAAGCTCAGCTTCCAAATGTCTCAGAAAAAAAGAACACTTCTTTTCTCCTTGTGCAAAAAATGACTATATTGGCTGGGCAGTGTGTGTGTGTGTGTGTGTGTGTGTGCGCGCGTGCGTGCACACACACGCATATATCTTTCATCAACACACATACAAAATAACATGAATTACTTCCCACCTTCTTATTAGGTATCAGGCCCGTGCTAGGTACTGAAAATACTGAGACAAATAAAATTTAGCCACACCTTTCACCCAATGTGATGGCAGAAAGCCCTCTTTTTCTCCCCTACATTTATTCACTGCTGTGTACACACAGTTTTCTTTGTTGCCATGATTGCATTCCCCCTAAGTATGGAGACTGTGTGGCTTCACCTGGAACAGTAGTTCCAGCTAATGTGTGTCATCCCAGAGTATGAGTAATAAAGCCCTTCTAATTCTCAAAAGTGACCCTGCTTGGGTGATAACATTTGCCTGATTCTTTGAAGCATTGTGTTTGGCTCTGTAACATTTTCATTTATCAATTTCGTAACAGGCACTCTCCTTGAACTTGATGATATGACTCCTTTCGCAAACATATAAATCTGTCCAAGAAAAAGAAAATACAATGAGGATGAAGGGGGTGGTCCAATTCAGTCATTCAGCTATTTTAAGCCGGGGTTTTCTTGCAAGTAGTGACCACTCGTTAATGGCTGTTTGACTGGATTGAGTAGCATTTGTTTCTCCCAATGAGTTTATGGAATGAGAAACCAGCACACCTGTTTAGTGAAAAACCCCCTTGTCAGCTTTCTGGGAAAGCAAAAACACACCACCAATAGCACCAAATACTCAACACAGCTGTGAATCTGGAGGCTCGACTGAATTTTTACACGTCGTCTGGTTTCATGGGATCCCGCCTTCAAAATCATGAGGTCTGCTCTCCAGCGGTCTCCCAATTCTCCCCTCCAAGGTGGTCTTCTGTTTAGTGACATTTCAGGGACATTCCACTGCTTAACCTTTCACCTTGGGGTCTCTGCCATGTGTCCTCATTCATCTGGCTGGTAATAGAAAGAAAGTGGAGCCTACTGGTTAAGATCATGGATTCTCTCTCCAGACAGGCTGGGTTCGTTCATGTCATGACTCTGTGATACTAGCTGTATGGTCTGGCGCAAATTTCTTAACCTGAAAGCCTCCGTTTCCCTCTGTGAAATGGAAATAGTAATCGTTCCTACTTCATGTGGGCAGTAGATGAATTGAAAGAACGTATTCGCAGAGCAGTTAGCAGAGTTCTTAGGAAAGGGTGGTCACTCACTAAATATTCCTCTGCAGCACCTCCTTTTCCCCTAACCAACCCCTTCCTCCTAACCCTTTGCCTGCCTACGGGACACACATCCAATGTGTGATCACCCCATTTCCGTTTCCGGGTGAATGGAAACAATGCCACTGCCCCAGGGTTTCTGCCAAGTGCCCACCTGCACTAAGGGGGAGATAGAAGCCCGTAAGGAAAGCATTGTACTGAGATCACACAAGCCTTGCAAATCTAAGGCTGAATCGCCCTTGCTTCAGTGTTTCCTTGGTTGCATTTTACCCATGTGGCTCTGAAAGGCCAGGTGAAGAAAATGAGCACATGGGCATAAATAGTCCCATTCCTCATCTCCATTGATGGATACTTGCCCATTAATTCCCTTTGCACCCGCTCTCTCGTGCCTTCATTTTCCCTATGCAATTACTGGCCCTAAATCCTTTCAGAGAGGGGAAAACACGCGTCTCCAATAGCATTTTGCATCTACAAATCAAACGTATAATTGGCATCTCATGACGGGTCTCCACAAATCACAGTGCATTTGAAATTGCAGGCACAAGATTGAGAGGGAACTTTCAGCCTTGTCTGTAAAGGTCTTCATAGACCTGTTTGAGAATAATACGATAGTCCCCAAATCTCCCATTCTGACACCATTTGCTATTATTTTAAAGTCATTACATTTGCTGAGCTTACATAATTTTTTGGCTATCAATGGAAGATCTTATTCAAGACTCCATAATCTCCCTTCCTGCTGTGTAATGCTCTACAAATAAAAATGTTGTAGCACAAAGACGCTGGCTATCAAAAATGGAAAGGCTGTGCATCCGAATTACTTGTGAGCCCTCATAAGTGATTTATTAAGGTGATTGTATGCCAATATAGCCAGGTGTCTTGGTAACCCTCACCACAGAGAGGCTGAGGGTCAAGTCTTAGTTTTCTTATGAGCCAGTGTCCTTCTCTGAAGAAATATGTCTTTAGTAGGATTTGAATGTTAGTCCAACTTTTCTGAGAGTCATATGCATGAGTTTAGCAACCATCTCATTATAGGAGTATTAGAGTGATATTCCTTAAACATGAACATTTTTAACTTGACATTGTAGGCATTTGTAGAGAATTATGACCCCTGCCAGTTAAAAAGTGGAGGGCATTAGGAAGCACAAAAGGCATTATTTGGCTTTTTCCTGTAGCCATTGCTTGCATTTCATAAAAATGTAGACTGAATTGCTCTCAGTGGGATATGGAAAGCATTTAGTCCAAGTGGAGAAATCGGGATGGAATATGTCACCTGGTATTGCCATTTCATTTCCTCTTCTTGTCTTGCAGGCTACGCCCAGGAGGAACAGCTGAAGGACGAGGAGGAGATAAAAGAAGAAGAGGAAGAGGAGGAAGACAGCGGTTCAGTGGTTCAACTTCAGAGCAGCAATGACCCCGGGACAGATGAGGAGCTAGACATGGGTCCGGAGCAGAAAGGCTGCTTCAGCTACCAGAACTCTCCAGGAAGCCACCTGTCCAATCAGGATGCTGAGAACGAGTCTCTGCTGAGCGATGCCAGTGATCCTGTGTCAGACATCAAGAGTGTGTGCAGTCGAGATGCCTTGGACAAGAAAGCGAGCACTCGCCCGAAGCTTCCGAATGAAGCCCACAACTGCATGGACAAAATGACAGCCGTCTACGCCAACATCCTGTCTGATTCCTACTGGTCGGGCCTGGGTCTGGGCTTCAAGCTGTCCAACAGCGACAGACGGAACTGTGACACCCGCAATGGCAGCAACAAGACTGATTTCGATTGGCACCAAGATGCTCTGTCCAAAAGCCTGCAGCAGAACCTGCCTTCCAGATCTGTGTCAAAGCCCAGCCTGTTCAGCTCAGTCCAGCTGTACCGGCAGAGCAGTAAGATGTGTGGGACCGTCTTCACCGGGGCCAGCAGGTTCCGGTGCCGCCAATGCAGCGCCGCCTATGACACCTTGGTTGAGTTGACTGTGCACATGAATGAAACGGGCCATTATCAAGACGACAACCGCAAAAAGGACAAGCTTCGACCCATGAGCTATTCAAAGCCCCGCAAACGGGCCTTCCAAGATATGGACAAAGAGGATGCCCAGAAGGTTCTGAAATGTATGTTTTGTGGCGACTCCTTCGATTCCCTCCAAGATTTGAGCGTCCACATGATAAAAACAAAACATTACCAAAAAGTGCCTTTGAAGGAGCCAGTACCAACCATTTCCTCGAAAATGGTCGCTCCGGCAAAGAAACGTGTCTTCGATGTCAATCGGCCGTGTTCCCCCGATTCCACCACAGGGTCGTTTGCAGATTCGTTTTCCTCTCCGAAGGGCGCCAGCTTGCAGCTGTCCTCCAATAACCGTTACGGTTACCAGAACGGAGCCAGCTACACCTGGCAGTTTGAGGCCTGCAAATCCCAGATCCTAAAGTGCATGGAGTGCGGGAGCTCCCATGACACCTTGCAGCAGCTCACCACCCACATGATGGTCACAGGTCACTTTCTCAAGGTCACCAGCTCTGCCTCCAAGAAAGGGAAGCAGCTGGTGTTAGACCCACTAGCTGTGGAGAAAATGCAGTCTTTGTCGGACGCCCCGAACAGTGATTCTCTGGCTCCCAAGCCATCAAGTAACTCAGCTTCTGACTGTACAGCTTCTACGACTGAGATAAAGAAGGAGAGTAAAAAAGAAAAACCAGATGAGATCGACAAGGACGAGAAAGTCGTGAAAAGCGAGGACTATGAAGACCCTCTACAAAAACCTTTAGACCCTACAATAAAATATCAGTACCTAAGGGAGGAGGACTTGGAAGATGGCTCAAAGGGTGGAGGGGACATTTTGAAGTCGTTGGAAAATACTGTCACCACAGCCATCAACAAGGCCCAGAATGGGGCTCCCAGCTGGAGCGCATACCCCAGCATCCACGCAGCCTACCAGCTGTCAGAGGGCACCAAGCCTTCCTTGCCTCTGGTGGGGTCACAGGTACTGCAGATCCGACCTAACCTCGCCAACAAGTTAAGGCCAATTGCACCCAAGTGGAAAGTAATGCCGCTGGTTTCCGTGCCCACAAACCTGGCCCCATACACTCAAGTGAAGAAGGAGCCAGAAGACAGAGATGAAATGGCGAAGGAGTGTGGGAAGGAAAGTCCCCATGAAGAGGCATCTTCTTTCAGCCACAGTGAGGGGGAGTCTTTCCCCAACAGCGAAACCCCTTCCGAATCCAAAAAGGCTGATCCTTGTCCCCCGAAGGAGGAGGACAACCTGATGAAAGAGGCCGGGGAGAAAGAGAAGCCCCAGCCCCTGGAGCCGGCATCTTCCCTCAGCAACGGGTGCGCCCTCGCCAACCCCACCTCGGCCCTGCCCTGCATCAACCCGCTCAGCGCCCTGCAATCCGTTTTGAACAATCACCTGGGCAAAGCCACAGAACCCTTGCGCTCCCCGTCCTGCTCCAGCCCGAGCTCAAGCACAATCTCCATGTTTCACAAGTCAAATCTCAGTGTCATGGACAAGCCGGTGTTGAGCCCTGCCACCACGAGGCCGGCCAGCGTGTCCAGGCGCTACCTGTTTGAGAACAACGATCAGCCCATCGACCTGACCAAATCCAAAAGCAAGAAAGCCGAGTCCTCGCAAGCACAATCCTGTACGTCCCCACCTCAGAAGCACGCTCTGTCTGACATCGCCGACATGGTCAAGGTCCTCCCCAAAGCCACCACCCCAAAGCCCGCCACTTCCTCCAGGGTCCCTCCCATGAAGCTGGAAATGGACGTCAGGCGCTTTGAGGACGTCTCCAGCGAAGTCTCGACTTTGCATAAAAGAAAAGGCCGGCAGTCCAACTGGAACCCTCAGCATCTTCTGATCCTGCAGGCTCAGTTTGCCTCGAGCCTCTTCCAGACATCAGAGGGCAAATACCTGCTGTCCGATCTGGGCCCACAAGAGCGCATGCAAATCTCAAAGTTCACGGGACTCTCGATGACCACTATCAGCCACTGGCTGGCCAATGTCAAGTACCAGCTTAGGAAAACGGGCGGGACAAAATTTCTGAAAAACATGGACAAAGGACACCCTATCTTTTATTGCAGTGACTGTGCCTCCCAGTTTAGAACCCCGTCTACCTACATCAGTCACTTAGAATCTCACCTAGGTTTCCAAATGAAGGACATGACCCGCATGGCCGTGGAACAGCAAAGCAAGGTGGAGCAAGAGATCTCCCGGGTGTCGTCGGCTCAGAGGTCTCCGGAAACCATAGCTGGCGAAGAGGACACAGACTCTAAATTCAAGTGTAAGTTGTGCTCTCGGACATTTGTGAGCAAACATGCAGTAAAACTCCACCTAAGCAAAACGCACAGCAAGTCACCCGAACACCATTCTCAGTTTGTAACAGACGCGGATGAAGAATAGCCCTGCAGGTATGGGTTTGCTCCCAGGTGGTTGTGACAGTGGCCTTGTGAGGAGTCTCTTGAAGGGAGATGGGTCTGTTTAGCGGCAGCTAACATCTCTCCGTACCAAGAGGCCAGTAGCCTGCTGGAATAGGACTTACTTTTATGAAGACTAGAACATGATGAATAAGTCCTATCCGTTCTCTTAATTTCTCCAGTGCAGACTTGGGCAATAGAATGAAATGGCTTTAGAGAGATGGAGTTCACAGGTCACTGTTTCATGATACGTGATCCCCTTAGTTTTCCGAGGCCCAGCTTGCAAGGTCCAGCCAAGGCCACGCGTCATTTTAATTAATAAGTGCTAACTTCTCTCACAGTCCCATTCCACAGCTCGCCTTCCCGTAGTAATGCTAATGACTTAGAAAGTGATAGAGAAAAAACCATCAATAGAATCAAGACTGTAGAGATCCTGGGGGCACCCACTGCACAGAGATTTCTTAATCAGTTTGTGAATAGTTCAAAGTTGTCTTCTTCATCCTTCCTTGTAATCAATGCTTTTTGCAGCTTGCTGTGGGCGGTTGCTCCCTTCCCCCCCTGGCCATCGGCTCGTTTCCGCCGTTAGGTTTCCTATGAAAGAGCTGAAAGAGCTTCCGCCCTGCAGTCGGATGGTAGGAGAATTTTCTTCTCTGCAGAACGCGGAGATGAAAAGAGAGGAGGCTGGTCTCCTTCCCTCATCTTGCGGCTTTCCTTAGTCTAGACCAATGCCAGAGTCCGCCTCTCACAACAATAGGCCAATGCACGCCCTTGAGATTTTGCTTGACATAAAGAAACAAAAGACTCTCTGCACACCCATTGCCAGCGCGCATGGGGCCTCACAGCTTCAAGATAATTTGCTTTGTGGGTCGTAGAAATTCTGTGCCCTGTTGAGTCACCAGTGCCCAGACTCTCGATGTCATCTCCAGGAAAGAGGGCAGAGACCGAGGTCACGTACCTTGGCAGACTAGTCACACGGGCCACTTTCAAATGCTTTCAAGGCTGGGTCTTAACAAATCCCTTTTCTCTCATTTTGTATTTTCTCTACTGTCTTTTCTCTTGCCACCCTCCCCCAGCATGATACACACACTCCCCATGTGCTAGGGACCCTCACTCCTATTCAGGGTGTCTTCTACCATGGGCCACACCCCAAGACGAGGACCCAAGTGGACTTAAAGCTTTGGCACTTGAGGGGCCAGTTTATGTCATGCCAGGTTACAGATGAGCTCTTTTGATTAATTCACAGTAAGACATGAAGCCTTTGCCATCTCCTCTGGTCTGAGTGTTTGCTTTTCCATAGGAGACTTTTCAGATCAAGCCACAACGATCTGAGCACTCACAGACGTCCAGGTGGAGAGCAGTGTTTATCTCACTTGGCTTTGGGCTCACGTCCTAACAGGGAGGGAGGCTGACTGAGTGTGAGGATGGTCAAAATGAAAGCAAGGGTGAAAACATCTAATCTGGGACTTTCAGTGGAAAGAACTAAGAGCTTCTGATAAAGGGGGACACCAGCTGGTAATTCTAATGGCTCTCTAGGCTCCAATGAAGACTGTTGTTTTGTTTGCATGTTTTTAATCACAATAAGTAAAATGTGTTACTGGCAGATTCATCTCTTGCTTTCCAAGCATGGTTTGTTCGGCTCACACTATGGAAAGAAAAGCTGAAATGCATCTATTGAAACTACACGTGAGGGTTGGGCTCAGCAAATCTATTTATTTGCTATATAACATTTTAAATTTTATGTAACTTGCTATTATGCTTTTCTGGTCTTTCAAAAAAAAAAAAAAACAACAAAAAAAAACCCCGTGAATATACACAGACTATCCAAAGAGAAGAGAGATGTTTCCCATCCTGTAGTAGTAGGTTCAAACCATGGTGAAGAGGACAAATAGGCAATGTTTATTTGTGCTACAATAAAGACCAATTTTCCACCTGATAGGTTTGTAATCATTTTTTTAAAAAATTAATATCACTGTCAAAACATTGCAATGGGTAAATAGAGAGGGGGAGAAAAAGAGAGCTGTAGTCAAAATCTGAAACGTATGTGCCTGTTCCAGGGAAACAAAGGTAAACCAATAATTTGGGGACAACCTACACAAAAGGTACTCACAAATCTGTTGAATACATAGATGGGAGAGCTCCTTTTCTCATCTCTCTGTACTTGTTCAGGCACAAATATTTCTGATTTGGACCTTTGAGGCTCCATTTTGCAGAGTTATCATGAGAAATCAGAGCTCTCCCCTGACATAAACTCCATGATTCTGTGATGCTGAGGAAGGGTCACTGGAAGACAGGTCTGAGCATCGGGGGCCCGTTTAAAGCGATGGGAGTGCATGTGTGTTATGTGTACATGAAACTGGTGCAGCGTACGGGGTGTTTGTGGGGTTCTGAGGCTACCCCACTCTGCCGGATGGTTCCCACAACGGCACGAAGGTGGCTTCTGTTGCCCTGGTTGCCTGGAAAAGAGGCATTGTGCCCTTGGGTGTTCATTTTGAACGGAATGGATGCAATATCTTGCCCGCTGCTTAGAACTCTGCAGACGTGGCTTTAAATGATCACAAAATGAGATCACTGCTATCTGGAACTCTAATTTTAGCTGCCGTGCATGATAGTACAAATTGTGCAAAATGACATGATGTTTTAGAAAGCATGATCAAGATTTTACGGAAAATTTGGGGGTTTTACCGTATCCATGTTCTCTATAAGATGCCAATTTGACCTGAATTTTCTTTCCCTTTTATGTCTTAAATCCTACAAAAATTCCTTGCCAAATGTTAAACACAACTTTTTCTTAAATAATAATTGTCAAATATTAAATGTGCATTCCTATTTTAGGAGAGAAGTAATCTGAAACAATTTCAATAGGTATTTGTGTATACCTTTAAAACCACATGCTCTTGAATAATAGAAATTAAATGAAGAGCAAATCAATGAGTCTAAAAGGCATAAGGACTTGAAATTATAGTCATTACCATGTAATATAGCATATAAGTTTAGCAGCACACTTAGCCTTGAAATTGGTGGCGCAAATGAATTCTAGTCCAGTGAGCTTCCACCTTTGTTAAGGGTGATTTTATAAAAACCCATGTTCACAGTGAACAGCATGTAAGGTTTCCAGATAAAATATAGTCTGTCCAGTTAAATTTGAATTTCAGTAAGTGACAAATAAGATTTTAGTATAAGTATGTCCCAAATATTGTAGCGGCCATATTTATACTAAAAATACATACGTTTATTGTTTATCTAAGATTCACATGTAAGTGGACATTCAGTATTATTTGCTAAATCTGGCAACCCTAACAACATAGATTATCTGCAGTCTGGAAGAGCAAAAGGGGCTGGTCTAATTTTTTTTCAATTACGGTCGATATATAATATTATATGTATTTCAGGTCTACAAGATAGTAATTACACACATATAATTTACAAAGTGATTACCCCAGTAAGTCTAGCACCCACCTGTCCCAATACAAAGTGATTACAATATTATTGACTATATTCCTTATGCTGTACTGTATATCCCATGACTGTTTTTATAACTGGAAATCTGTACGTCTTAACCCTCTCACCTTCTTCACCCCTGCCCCCAACCCTGCCCCCATCTGGCAACAACCAATTTGTTGTCTGTATCTGTGAGTGCATTTCTGCTGTATTTGTTCATTTATTTTTGTTTTTCAGATTTCACATATAAGTGAAATCATATGGTAGTTGTCTTTGTCTGGCTTATTTGACTTAGAATATGCCATCCGGGTCCATCCATGTTGTCACAAATGGCACACTTTCATTCTTCTTTATGGCTGAGTAATATTCCGCTTTATATAGGCACTATCTGTTTTTTATCCACTCGTCTCTTGATGGAGCCCTAGGTTGCCTCCATATCTTGGCTACTGAAAATTACACTGCAGTGAATGTGGGGAGCATATACCTTTTCAATTAGTGTTTTTGTTTTCTTCGGATAAATACCCAGAAGTGGAATTGCTGGATCATAACCTTGTTCTACTCTTATATTTTTTGAGGAACCTCCCTATCGTTTTCCACAGTGGCTGCCCCAACTGACAGTCCCACCAACGGTGCTCAAGGGCTCCTGTTTCTTCATGTCCTTGCCAACACTTGTTTGTTGATTTGTTGTTGACATGGGCTAGACCAATGTCTATAAGAGGCATTGACCATTCCTTCATCTGTTAAATAAATCTTTCAACCCTTCCTTCCTGACTCCCCTCCCTGGGTTCCTTGCATCCTTCCCGTCACACCGGTTGTGCTTTCACTGTGCACCAGCCTTGACTGAAGAGCAGATACGAAACAGTGAACCGGCAGTCGTGCCGCTTCACTAATTGGCCCAGTGTGCAGGCCTGCACCAGGCCCCTCGCAAACGGACCTCACGTCATCCTCACAGACAGCCCTGTGAGGCCGAGGTGGGTTCAGCCATGTCGCAGCAGGGAAGATGGAGGCAGAGCTTCTGCGCGCATTTCCCAAGCTTCCACACCCTCTGGGCCTCACTCGGTCACCGTCCCCAAACCTAGAAAGCCATCACTCCCTGCCAAGCACTGTGCTGGCCCCAGGGATGAACCAGTGGCCAGGGCAGGAGTGCAGCTTTGAGGCTAGTGACCGACACACAGATGGGCAGACGGGGATCCCTGGAGAGCGGAGCCCTCGGGAGGCCGTCTGGCCCGTCCCAGGGAAGCCCAGCAGGACATGGTGGCGCGGAGACCGTGTGATGTGAGGGGAAGAACTCCCGCTTCCCCGGCCCTCGAGCCTGAGTTCAAACCCCAACTCTTGTATCCTCGCTTCCATGCGTATAAACTGAGGACATAGGACAGTTGTGAGAAAGTAAATATATGCAATTCTTTCCCGTAAGTCCTGACACATAGTAGGCTCACAAGAAAAGTTTATTCTAGACTGTCTCTACAGGGATATCCCTGCCGTGTTCTTCAGCTTCCCCTGAAGTGTGTGAAACTTGCAGTCTTCCCGGCTGATTAATACCTAGGCAGGTGCCCCCTCACCCTGCGGTTCGATTATCACGACAGCAGCGGCAGCAAAACTAGCACTTACTGGCCTCTTCCTATGAGCCAGACATGGTTATTCATCTCATCCTGGTTTTTGCAAAGAGCTCAAAAGGTTTCGTGATTTGTCTGAGAACACACAGTAAAGTGTACAGGTGGGATTCGAACTCAGGGCCACCCTATACTCACCAACTTTCCTCAGCCCCTCAGTTTCTCCTCCACCTTACCGGCTGGTTTCTGGGTGTTCCCCAGGCAAGGCCTCGCCTTGGCCTCTCGGAGGTTGCAGTTGCAAACCAGATTTTGTGACTCAGGGGCCTGGGACAGACCTGCAAAGCAGAGCGAAGCAAAGCATCCTCTCTCTCTGCATGTTAATGTCCTTGTTCGGTCGGGTAATTATACATTTACCATACAGTGTCTAATCGAGAACTGGCCCAAAGCCCGGTGAACGTGT